TGTGTGTGTGTGTGTGTGTGTGTGTATTTCCAGACCATTTGAGGATAAGTTGCATACATTATGCCTCTTTACCCCCCACATACTTTAGTGTTTGTTTCATGTTCCTCCTTGTTTGGATAAATATTTAAGCAGCCAGTTAGTTAATTTATAAGAGATGCTTTTAAAGAAGCACTTAGAATTTAAAAACCACCATAACCACAGCAAAAGACATGAGAAATCATCAAAACATATTTAAATTACAAAAAGACTAACTACCAGTAATAAGGATCTGATATAGGAATATTTATGAGAGAGAAAAGCACTGGTTGTTTGAAAGGATTTATATCCAGGGAGATAGAGAAACAATCAAAATGGATATTCCACACTCAATATTATGTAATCTAACTTCCCACTTGATATCAGCAGGAAAAAATCATGTATGACAGAGCAAACCAAGTAACAAATTCACTGAGTGAGTTGTGAATGACATGGCATACTGACTGTTATATTGACCAATTTGCCCTGAAGTCTTAGTGACTTAACACTTAAATAAAAGTTTATTTCTCTCTCAAATAATTTGCAGTACACATATTCCTGCATGGCACACTTGGGCAACTCTCCTCCATGCAGTGTCTCAGGGAACCAGGCTTCTCTCTGGTAGATCTCCATACCCCAGGACCTTGGTGTCCCCCACTGGGTTCTCTCTAACCAGCTCACAGCTAAAATGAGAACAAGAGTAGAATATCATGGAAGAGATTTTAAAAGCCAGCCCTAGAAGGTGTGTACATCACTTTCTCCTACATTCAATTGGCCAGAACTCAGTTGTAGGTCCCATTAACCATAAGAAACTATAATAGAAAATGTAATATGTATCCCTAAGTGCCCAGGAGTTAGAAAATGGTTTGGGGCGTCATGTAGTAGACTAGACATGTAGTAAAACTTTGCCCTTCATATTCTTTATATTCTGTCTGTACCTTGACCTGCACATGGTAACTACTGAGTATGTCAAATGATCAGGTGATCTTTTCCATAATAATATTATGATGTGATTTATTTCAGGTTTTTGAGATACACTCAAGCCACTGGTATATATATTAAAATTCCCGAGGTGTCCTCACATTTCCCTTCTTAACTGTCACAGGTAAAAACACTTAGACTCAGAGTTTAAATATTAATAATTGTCCCAAGTTCAATTAATGTAGGTCTAGACAGAGGGATGGGCAATTTAGGGTCCCCAAATGTAAGAAATCTGAGTAAATATCAATGACATGATACCTTACCCTAAGCACAGAAAATGCCATAGATTTCACAAAACACATCAAAGGGGAAATTGATGCACGGATGACCCTTAGGGTGAAAGAGATAGAATACTGGGAATACATGTAAAGTTGCTGTCACACCATTTAGTAATAGCAGAAACAGAACTCAGATCTAGTCCTCTGACTATAACACTAGCAAGTTTTTACATTATATCAGCTTCCCCACATTCTATGGAAAAAAAAAAAATCCTTGACAGCTTCTGCTTGGCTCTCCAGATTTGCTCATTCACTTAACAAGTGTTTGTTTAGGACTTATTGTGTACCCAGCACTAGTCTAGGTTGTGGGAATATGGCAGTAATCAAAACAATAATTAATTAGTAATTAATTAGTAAGTAATCCCTGCCTCAAGAAGCTTACCTCCCAGAAGGCAATTAGACAATACAAAGAAACAGATGTTAGAAATGAGAATGAAAAAAAACTAAGAAGGAGAGAAACAGGGTCAGAGAAAGGAAAGTCATGGGCAAAGAAGAAAGTTCTCTTTTATTAATTTTTTTTCAATTTTTTAAAATTGACAGATAAAATTGCATGCATTTATCATGTACAACATGATGTTTTCAGTGTGTGTCTGTGCATGTATATGTATATTTATAGGGAAATGGTTAAATCTGGCTAATTAACATACACACTACCTCACATGGTTACCATTTTTGTTGAGAAAATACTTAACATCAACTCTCTTAGTATTTTTCAAACGTACGTCATCATTAACTATAGTCACCAAGCTGTACTATAGATCTCGTGAACTTATTTCTTCTATCTAACTATAATTTTTTTATCTTTTAACCAACATTGCCCCAAGCCCCACCCCCACCCTGCAACCACTCTGGTAACCACCATTCTACACTCTGTATCTATGAGATTGACTTTTTTGATTGCACATATGAGTGAGATCATGCAGTATTTGTATTTCTGTGCCTGGTTTATTTCATTTAACATAAGGTCCTCCAGGTTTATCCATGTTATCACAAATGATAGGATTTCATTTTTTATGGCTGAATAGTATTTCTTTGTATATATATATACCACATTTTCTTTATCTATTCATCTGTTGATGGACACTTACATTATTCCATGTCTTGGCTATTGTGAATACTGCTGCAATAAACATGAGAGTACAGATATCTCTTCAACATATTGATTTCATTTCCTTTGGATATATACCCAGTAATGGGACTACTAGATCATAGAGTAGTTTGATTTTTAATATTTTGGGAAACCTCCATGCTGTTTTCCGTAATGGCTATACTAATTTACATTCCCACCAACAATGTGCAAGGGTTCACTCTTTTCCACATAATCACCAATATATCTTTTGTCTTTTTGCTAATAGCCATTCTAACAGGAGTGAGGTGATATCTTATCATGGTTTTGGTTTGCATTTCCCTGATGATTAATAATGTTGAGCATTTTTTCACATACCTCTTGGCCATTTGTATGTCTTCTTTTGAGAAATATCTATCCAGGTCTTTTGCCCATTTTAAAATTATTTATTTATTTTATTGCTCTTGAATTGAGTTCCTTATATATTTTGGATATTAACCTCTTATCAGATATATAGTTTACAAATATTCCATTCTGTGGCTTGTCTCTTTACTCTGTTGTTTACTTTGCTGTGCGGAAGTTTTTTAGTTTGATGTAATCCCATTTGTCTATTTTTGCTTTTGTTGCCTGTCCTTTTGAGGTCATATTCAAAAAAGTCATTGCCCAGACCAATGTCATGGAGCTCTTCCCTTATGTTTCCTTCTAGTAGTTTTATAGTTTTCGGTTTCACATTTAAGTCTTTAATCCATTTTGAGTTGATTTTTGCAATAGTTGGAGATAAGGCTCTGATTTCATTTTTCTATATGTGAATGTAGTTTTCCCAACATCATTTATTGAAGAGGCTACCCTAACCCCACCATGTGTTCTTGACAATTTGTTGGGCAGTTCTCTTTTAGAAAAAGTGGCCAGGGAAAGGCATCTGTGCAGAGATCTAAGGGAAGTGTGAGAGCAAGCTATATAGATATCCAGGGAAGAACATCCCAGGCAGAGGGAAGGCCCTGAGGCAGGGCTGTGCTTGATGTAGACATGTCACAGCAAGGAGGCTAAAATGGCTGGAGCACAGTGAGGAAGGGGTACAATGGTGGAGGAGGTCAGAGAGATTGTTAGGGGTCGAGGCAGGCAGATAATGTAGAGTCTTCCATAGCCATGGGCATAGAAAAGATTTTGGATTTCACTTTTGGAGTGTTTGAGCAGACAAAGATATGATACATTTTAAAAGGCTCATACTGCCTGCTGTGTTGAGAATTGATCGTTGGTGAGCAAGGATTGAAATAAGCAAGTCAGCACGTTGGCTTTCACAGCAATCCAAATGAGAGGTGAAGAAAGCTCAGAGGAGGATAGCAGGAGTGAAGGGGGTAAGAAGTGGATTGTAAATATATTTTAAAGGAAGAGCCACAGGATTTGCTGATGGACAGGATATAAAAAAAAAGAGAGGAAAGACTGCAATATTTTTGACCTAAGCAACTAGAACAGAGTTGCCCTTTATTCATATGATAAGTATGATGGATGGAAATGGTCATGGGAGACCGGAGAGGGAATCAAAAGTTTCATTTGGGTCTTATCAAGCTTGAGATGCCTTTTAGCTATCCACATAGCTAAAAGGTGGCTGGCATGTTGAGGGTAAACCTGGAAACTGAATGAGAACATCTAGGGAGTGAGTATAAAGAAAGAATAGAAACATTCTGAGGACTGAGGACTGGAAAGCTCTGATTTTGAAGGTCCAAAAGGGGAAGAGTGACAGTAAACGACTACAAAAATATGAGTTGTGAAGAAGGAGAAGCAATGAGAGAGGGGAGAGTCCTGGTGGCCTTATGAATGAAAATGTTTCAAGATGGAAGTGAACAGTTGCATCAAGCGCAGAGTAAAATAGGACTGAGAATTCAGCATTGAATTTGGCGACAGAATCAATTATTTTGAATTAACATGACCATTCAAGTCAGTTGAAAACTCATTTATTTTTAATTTGGATGACTAATTGGTGAAGTTGATATCTGTGTTTTGATCACTTGAAAACAAAGCCTGTCTCGTGTTTGAATCTGTAGAGTTCATTTATTTGTATATTCTGTGATTATATATATATATATATATATATATATTCAGCGCAGGGAGGAATCCACTTTCTTTCTTTATATTATCCTGCATTATCCTTATTTTCTGCCATTCAACTCATATGAGACCAACTTCTTATCACCAAAAGAACTAATATGCCTCTGTGTGCCAGTGTCTAAGTTAGTAAAATGTCATTCTGTAGTAGTTTCCAAAATGAGGAGCTGTTATATTTCTTAATATTTTAGACCTCATTTTATTTAGGGCTTAGAAGGAAGAAATGACATTCATTGTATCAAGGAGATTCTTGGAGACAAGTTACTTTTTCAACTCTTTATCATAAAGTTCAAATACCATGTAAATAGAAAATGTTAAGCAGCAGGTTCTCTGTAATCCACACAGAACCCTGCTCTACCCCAACCTTCACACATCAGTTAGTCAGTTGAATATTTCAATTTGCCCTTTTTAAAAATATATATGTTGGCCATTTCTAAGTATAACCGTAAGAAGTGTTTTATAGATGGTTAAGTTCACTATACATGTAACACGATATACTTGTTAATTATTGATTTAGTATTTACCTTTATAATTGGAGGTTCCCAGTCCTGAGTCCTCAGAACCAATTCGAGGACAGCTTAAGTGCAAAAAGGGACATGTTAAGATTTACATTCTTCATAGTCACCAGTATAAACATAAGTAATGGCTCTAGTAGAAATATACAGATATGCCAATTCAGGGAAACTACTGGTTTTTAAAATACCTGTCTTAAAATAACTAATTTCCCTCAACAAATTATCTTATTTACCGTTTTTCCTCAGAGGTTGGCATGCATATTTGTTGAATTATTTTATTGTATAACACTAGAGAGAAAAGAATAGTCACAAAAAAAATCAGGAAGATGCATGTCTGAGTCAAATAATGCTGCTGAGTATACAAAAATGGACAAGACTATTTGTCTAGTGATTTTCTTGTATCTGGGCCCTTAAAGCAACCTACTATCGTTCAGTTCTCTTTGGTCATGTACCAAATCTTTGCCTGATTTGTCTTTCTTCTTCCTCCCTGTTCATTTCATAAAGGTGTGCCAGGTGCTGTTTAAATATAGGACATCCAGTGAACAAAATAAGTTTTTGTTCTTAGAGTTTACCTCTATTGGGTAATAACAGATTAATCCTGTAAATTAACCCACCAACTGTACAAGTTATATGGCTGCAAAATCTGCCATACAAGAATGTCCTCACTCAGATAAAACATACAGACTTACTGGAATTAAATGATGGAAAAACTCATTTAACTGGAATTAGAATACCGGTTTCCAATTTAATCTGTGCTACTAATTCACATGGTTACTTTAAACATGTCACTTAAATTCTTTGGCCACCAGCTCCCGATTTTTAAATCAAAGATAATCTGTAATGTCTATATCCAAAAACTCTGGCGTTCTTAATGTTTCTGAGTCATAATTGTGTATTCACTAGTTGGGCCCTCTGGAAAAATGGGTTGTGAAGAATAGTTTGTTTTTCATTACTCTCTATAAACTAATTTCTTGCCCCCTTGTAATCAAAAATGGTAATTTCCTTGTGCTCACAGCTCAAAATTTCTAACCTTATATAAAACTTGGCAATAGCAAAATTTGGGATTGTGAGAAATGTCAGAGGGAAAAAGTAATTACAATTATAGTCAACAATTCTAAAGCTATAGGAAGATGATCAAATTTACCATTATGTAAAATATTTTCAGTTTATGCAAATTATTTTTAAGTAGGAGGAGAGAATCTTAGTGTCTATTCATTAATACTTTTAAAAAGCCAATAAACTCAAATCTAAAAATAACCAGTATACAATAAATTTGCCAAGTAAGTCTCCAATTCCCCTGGTTCTATAAATCTTAAAATTTGAATAACAAAAAGATCACATTTTTCACTATCTGCTTAAGAGTATAATAAATTATATTTGAAAACTTATACTGGTCATATAAAAATGTGCTCTGTCTCTGGTGTGCTAGTTGCTTATGCATGAGAGCAGAAATGTAAAAGGACTGGGTGCAATTAAAGGAATTTGCAATAGAATCCCAGATGGTAAAACTCTGAAAATTTTGTCTTGATGATTGTTAAATCACAGAGCCTACACGAGTAGACTCTTACTTGTTGAATTAATGGATGAAATCACCTATAGCATTATCTTGCTATAAAACCTTATAAAGTCATGTTCATTTTTTCATATTTAGAATACAAACTGTACACTTTTAATGAATATAAATTCTACCAAAAAGTACAAATGAAAATAATTGCAGTTATTATACAATATTAATGAAAGTTATGCTAATTGCCCTAAAAGTTAAAGAAAATATATTATGTTTTGCCTCTCCTCCTAATTAACATTATTTCACATTGTGTAGTACATTTATGGGAATTTTGTAGTACTTCAGATAAATCATTTTTATGTTTCTAGGAGAGTGGGTTGTAATGAGCATTATAATGCATTTCCGTTCAGAAATGGTATTATGTTACAAAACATCTTCTACTGATAGATTGGAAAAAGTTGTACCAAAGTGACACTTCCACTTAAAATTTGGAATAAAATTTAGCCAAGGGAACATAAATGAATCCATTAGAGTTAAATGGCTATAAATTTGGGATGAATATTACATTTTAGCTACATATTATTTTCATATGTTAAAAATCCCACATGCCAGCAACCTAAAGTGATTTGGAGGTGGCTCCTGTATCCCACTTGCCCCTTGGCATGTAAATTTATACTCCTATATAAAGAATATCAAAAATAAAACCAAACATTCATGACCATTAAAATATATTCATTAGATCTGCATTTAGCTGCAACTAATCTGATATGCCATCATCCCAAGTACTTACAGGTAAGTTCCTCTCCCTCATGCTGAGGAAACTACCTTGTATCTGGGCCCATCCTTTCTTCTTTCCCTCTGGCTTCAAAGGAAAACGTGTAGGTCTTGTATTCAAAGTCACTAACTTCATCTTGCTCTGGAAGGAAGCCACTGCTATCCACTCAGAGAACTGCTTCATCAGCACTCTCTTCATCATGGACACCATTATAACTTCCTTTTTCTTTGGGTGTCTCACTCTTAGCCTATCACCTTGCTCTAATTTATCCCAGTCTTCAAGAATTGCTTAATTCTGCATTACCCTCCAGCCATGGCTTTTTCTCTTTTCTTCCATTTCTCTCAGCCAATTTCCTTGAAAGATTTTTTCCAAGTATGTATTTACGCATATCCCACCTTATTTCATAAATCATTAAAGATATTATTTTTGGAGGAATAGGCTTGGTTTACCATCTGTGCTCCCTTATCTGCCTGGCACCTCTCATCGTACTGCTGTCTGGTTTCTGTCCACTTCATGCTATTGAAGATGCTCTCCCAGTGACTTCCTCTTTGGAAAATGAGTATTTCTCATTTCTTCCAGCATCTCTCCTCCCTTGGGTTACAGGACACCAATCTCTTCAAGAGGTCTTCCTCGTTCTCTATTTCTTCTCAGACTCCTTTAGTGAATCCTATTTCTTTGTCTACTCCTCAAAAACTGAAATTTCTCAGCCTTTGTTTTTTGTTAACTCATTTTATTAGTCTATAGCCTCACCACCACTATCACAGCCACCCACGTGATTTTATCTACCTTTATAGTAGTATTTCTCATCTTAGTGCCTTTCTGTGGGTTCTCCATGGCCCCTAGAAAACAAAGACCAGACCTTTTGTCTTATGTTCAAATCCTTCATCATCTGGTCCACACCAATCTCTTTAGACTCATCTCGTATTACTTATCACAGTTCATTCATTCTTCATTCCACAGATATTCACTGAGCATCTACTATGTTTCAGACACCATTTGAAGTTTTGTGATATACCAGTGAACGAAACAGAATAAAAATCCCTACCATCATGGAATGTATATTCTCCTAGCAACACTGAACTGTCACTTTGTACCTCTTTGTCATTGCAGATTATTTCTTCCATCTGAAAAAATATGTTTTCTCTTATGTTTTTTCACAAACTCCTATTTATCCTTGTGAATTCAAATCAGAGCTTACTTCTTCCAGGAAGATTATCCCAGCATCTCACATTTTCCCAGCAGCTCTATAAATACTTTTGTCATTTATTTAGGTCAAGTTTTGTTGTTAAGTCATAACATTGGGGTTACCATTATCCTCCAGAATTTCTTAGGAAAATCCCAGAAAGATACATTGTGCCTTCCAGACTAAAAGATGCCTGGTCCATTAATAAATTGTAAACAGAGTGCTAGACCAAGTAATTTCACACCTCATGCACACACCAAGTGACCAGTGCATCTGATTGTTGACAGTCCACACAACAATTACCTGCAATAGGTGAGAGGATAACTTGTTGCTCCAAATAAGTTGTTTACATGTATTGTGGAAAATGAACAAATTTAGCATTGTGTTCTTATATTATAAAACTATGCAATTAAGCCTAATTATAATACAATTCAAAACATAGGTATAAATTCAGCAACATAGTCATGCATTACTTTTAACTTCTATTTGTCCATAAACTAAAGATCACCCTTTTAACAGAAGATACAAACTAAGTTACATTACTTCTACATCCATACCTTTTAGTGAAACACTATTTGCTCTTGTCAGAAAAGAATATTAATTTAATGGATTTGCTTGCCAATTTTGTTTGAAGCTCCATACTTTCCAACGATATACCTTAAAAACATATGGATTCCTTTTTTTCCTAAATGTTTTTTTTTCTTTTATGGATTACCTTCCAACAGTGGTTCCTGATCCAAGGCTGTCCCAGCCTCCCCCCACATCAGGGGTACATTTGTAACTATACAGAGTGATTTGGGGATTATATTGTGGAAAAAAGTCTTCAGAATCAGATCTTGAAATAAAAATCTTTAAAAAAATATTTATAAGAGCTGCATTACAGGCTCAAAGGAGGCAAGTGATTATCAGTTATTAACTGGACTTCCACCATACCTTAAGTTTTCAATATGTCCAAATAACAGGCTTTTCCTCGGCCTAAGGACCCTTCCAAGAATTGCTTTATGACCAACAGAGGTTCAAGTAAGGGAAAGAGAGTGTGTGATACTTTCATAGGTACAGAAAGAGGGAGGACCTTGCCATATTTTAGCAAACTTGAGGGAGACTATTTGAAGAGAGTGCCAGCAACATCCAGTGGAAGAAGTTACCATGTTTGTCCAGTAAACCTTTAGGGATACAGAAAAGTGTTACGGTGCTTGTCTGGTGAAAGAAAACATTAAGTATCTGTCAGGTATAATTTTAACTTCAAGAATGCAGGAATGGAATTTCTGTTTTTTATTGAAGCTAATTTTCTTCATGAGTAGTCATAATGGCTGGGTTCTTACTGGCATTTAGAGCCCAGGGGCCAGGAATGCCAAAACATACTGCTTTGGGGGGCAGGCATATCCCATCCTAAATTCCAAGCAATAGCATCTCCTTTGAAGAATATCCTGACTCTGTCCCACAACCAGATAGCTTCTCTACTCTGTTGCCTGAGATCTATTCTCTGTGCTGCTGATAATGCTTGCTGAACCTTCTCGGTTAACCTTGTACCAGCACCTTGCTCCTCAAGGTGTGGTACAGAACCACCCTCCTCATTACGTGGCAAACCAGGTAACTTTGCATCCCACCTCAGACCTAATGGATCATGATCTGCATTTTAACATCTCCCAGGTGATTCATGTTCAAATTAAAGTTTGCATATTACATCATGCAGTTTGATCTGCTGGATGATTGATCCTGGCCCAGTGACAGAATCTCCTAATTTAGTAGAAGAGATTTATACCAAGTTAATAAAGACCTCCCTTAAGGCTCCTAAGAAAGCTAACTTCAACAAACATCTCTAAACTGCAGGAGTTATGAAATCAGTTAATGACCTTTTTGAGCATGCATCCTAACACACTTAAAAAGTATCTGAGGAAGGCATGTATGAAAACTATAAGCAAGTAAACTTCTGAGACAGCCAGTCTCGTGGAAGCAAAGTCACACTTCAGGGTTTTCACAGAAACCAAGAGGTACCCAGAATCTGAGCTGACATCAGACTGAGGGAATGGGGCCTCTCAACAGTACCCCTTTTGTCCTCAGAAGATTGAATTACTGAAGCTGCCCCTGTAAGTCTCAATAAGTAAGGAAGCTCTTTTTGATAATTTAGCTTGAGAGCCTGGAATGTAAATTTACTCCTTCAGGAATCTGGGAAATCATTATTGATTAAAAACAAATATTGGTGTGATGGATGGAAAATGGGAACTTTAGTTTCACATACCTAACACAAGAGTTGTTTGTAAAAACAATTATATATTCGCTGAAAAGTACTATCAAAAGAACGTTTTTAAAATTTATATGTGTTTCTTGCAAAATGCTTAAACAATATGAATCCTAACAGAGAAATAAAACCATATTTCTAAAGAAAGGGATTAGAAATTGTGCTTATCACTTCTGCCCTTTAAAAATTATACTATTCTATGAAAATAACTGTATACCCCACATAGTTAGACTTTAAATTATCATTGTTGTAGCATAAAAGTAGTACTCCAACTCAAAAACGTCTGAAAGTACTTTAATCTAATTCAAAACGGTGCCCTCGAGTGTTGGGGAGAACTTATCTGCTCTACCTCATCAGGCATAATGAGATGAGCACAATGTTTGGCCTAATTAGTTCCAGTGCTGTTCCCCTGAGCATTACTTTAAGGCGTTCTTTAACTTGAGAAATTAATAAGGACAGAAAAAGAGACTGTGTTGATTCAAATATATGCCGTTTACTAATAGTTAACGTAGGCACATTAAACACAACCGTGCTAATGGTTTTTCTGTGGCTCATCAATCCCCGTTTACTAGGTATTAGTGGATCTCTTGGCCGAGAACAGCTGGGTGTCCCTGAATCTGTGTCTGGAGTCTCAGCTTTTATCCGACATTCTAGTCCACTTCTGCCAGATAGGAATCCAGAATCCTATCTTATCCAGGTGCAATCTCTAACGAAGTCTGCAGTGGGTCCTGCTGATGTCCTCCTCTTTGGCTGGAAGTCTTGTAAGATACGTTAAAAGGAGCCTTCTCTATCATTGTCCCTTCCTATTAGGAACCTGAGTTACTGGTTCCCAAACAAACATTACTGCAAAAGGCAAAATCATCATATCCCTCCTTGGCAAGTGATTGAGAGCTGTCATGGCAAGCTAGGTGTCCTGGCAGGATTACAGTTTCCTCCTGACCTAGCACAGTGTCACTCCACAGTGCTGGCCTCTTTGACATGAAGCCCAGCCCATTTGTACAGAGTCTACACAGGGCTCAACCCCTCATTTCTTCCTCAGCTAGAGTGAAAGAAAACCCACCAAAGCTTGATTTCCTTCCAAAGTGATGATGTTGGGAGGTAGCCCAGTATAGTTGTTAGGAGAACAGTCCTTGAGTTCAAATCCTCGTGCTCACTTGACCTGTGTGATCTTCAACACACTCCTTAGGATCTCCAAGCCTCAGTTTCCTGACTTGTAATGTGCTTATTACGAACATTAAACAAGAAAATCCACATAAAGAGCTTAGCACAGTGCCTGATGCAAAGAAGGAGCTGGGTAATCTTGGCTTGTGTGGGAAATTAAGGTAGAGCCCCCAGTTAATGTGAAGCTTTCGGGCCATCCCCATTCATTCCCCTGCTATGCTCCTTTTCTTCAGGGTTTACAAATAACTTGCAAAATGTGTGTGATGATGTTCTATAGATCAGAAACTACCAAATCTACTCTACTCAGGTGTAGTCATATTCCAGCCTCAATTGATTCACCTTGGCCAGAAGGCCCCCTGTGAGCACAGCAGTCCATATGGTCTCCACCATCCTAAAATGTTCTTTTATAATCCAGTGTATTAGGTAAATGAGGTTTTCTAAGAAATATGTTATATTTGCCCTTCAGAACTGTTTGATTAAAATGAAAGAAATAATTTCTCCTGAATTTGCTATGGGTAACAAAGGCCTCAGCTGCAGAGGTTTTCATAAAGATTATTTCATTTCTTTTTTTAATTTTTTTTCAGCATATTTATAGGGGTACAAATGTTAAGGTTATAAAGATTATTTCTTAATTACAGAAATATAAAGATTATTTCTTATTTACATTTTAGTCTTGTATACATTATATTTAAGGAATGTGAGTTTTTTCCTTCCCCCAAAAAATGCATTTCTACTTTTACTAAGTATAAGTTAAACAAAGATTTGCCACATCTACTGATATTCTCACCAACATGTATTTTAAATGCAAACACTTAAAAACCGTGGGTTTTATATTTTCAGCATCTAAAAAGATTCTAAAATACTGAGTTAAAGCATGGGTCTCTGCTATTGATGTCACCCCTCTTAGGTCATGAGTCTTATAAAATGGGTACCTAAGGAGCCTGCTCCGTCATCGCCCCTTCCTGTTAGAACCTTGCTCAAACACTAACTCCAGAGGCTAATGCCATTGTGATCCATAGCTGTTTGTTACTATCCTTAATATCTCCAGAAATTCTGCTTCACGGGTTCTAGAATTTACATTTTCTATAAATTTTCGACCCGAAGTGATTCTGATGGTCTAGGGACCACAACTTTGGAAACAATGATGTAGGTCAGAAGTTTGCAAACCATGGCTCATCAGCCAAATTCAGTCTACTATCTGCTTTTGTATGGCTCTTGAGCTAAGCATGCTTTTTTAATATTTTTCAGATGCTTTAAAACATCCAAAGAAGAATACTGTTTTGTAACATGGAAAACTAATACAAAATTCAAATTTCAATGTCCATAACATTTTGTGGGAACACAGTGGCATTCATTTATGTGTTCTCTGTGGCTGCTTTTGCACTACAGCGGCAGAATTGAGTAGTTGCAGTAGATATCATACAGCCTGCAAAGCCTAAAGTACTTACCATCTGGCTCTTTATGGAAAAATTTTGCCAATCTCTGATCTAGATATTCAAAATGATCAGTGATGCTTCTTTTTAAGGGTTTTTAAAAACACCTAAGATAATGGTAAGGTGCTTCTGTGGCACACCTTACCTTGGTGATAGGGGAGATAAGAGAGCCAAAGGCAGAGTGGAAGGGAGGATTCCATTTATGCCTGTGAGGAGTACATCATTTCATTAAGAAGATGGAGTTAGGCACATGAAAAAACTAAGAAACATTAAAAGAAAGGGTATGCTTAAAGTATAAATCCTGTGATGCAAATAAACATGAAAGGAATTTAGGAAAAGAACTACCTGAATGTGAGATTAAAGATGGACAAAGATTTAAAGTTAAGAGGGTAGAGAAAGGGGAAAGGACTTCCCACATTGAGTAGTTTTATGAGTCGTGAGAGCTTAGAGGTGAGAAGGCTTAGGGCCTATTAGAGGAGTTGTTTAAAGAGGAGAACTCCAGGCAAAGTTCATATTGGGAAGTAATCGGAGATAATGTTGGGTCATTAGAGATAGGGACAGAGCCTGTAGGGCCTTGAATGCCCAGCTAGAGAGTCCAGACTCACTCTGCTGAGAAATGATGAACAATGTAGGTGCTTCATCAACATATCATGAACATGTGTTAAGAAAATGACTCTGGCAACAATGTGGAATCAGACTCAGAAAAAGGAAAAAAAAAATATCTAAGTCTATTTTTATTTTTAAATGAATATTCAAAGAGTTATACTTTTACAGCCCCTTTTACACCAAATGTACAAGAAAAGAATAGAAACACCAAAGTTGTGCAGAGTGGTGGAAGCCTTAAATAGATGTATGCCCTAAACTTTTCTTAAAGATCGTTCAAGTCTCTCTTTTTAATGATGCTGTTCCACAAAAGATCTATAATTAAACTAAAATCTGGCGTTACAACCCGTGCATTTAATCATGCCTGTCCAGGCCCTGCAGTTATTGGCATTCACATCTTATTTACAGAAGACTCAAGTCTGTGGTCCCATCGCCTTGTTGTGTGACTATCCAGTGAAATTCCTGTTCTGATAACACTGTCGTTCTGACTGTGCATTGAGAACTAACACTTTTTTCTTTAAGAAGCCATTTGCATGTTCATAAGCCTTATGGAGGAATACACACACACGTACACAGACATGCACAGCGAATTTTAAAAATTTGTTTTACCTGGCAGAAAAAGGGAGTTACCTCTAAAGTTTACAATGGCAGCTATTCAAAGGCAGCCTGTGATATCACACAGGAGTTTAAGAGAGGAAGTCTAATTTCAGTGGTGGGAGGCCTTTGTTGAGGCAGAGGCAATTAGCCAAGTTGGATTTTGGCCAGAATATCTGAGTTAACTAAAAAAGATCTCATCCGCTGCCAGCGGCACCGTATGGCTAACGAGCGTGCGTGGGAAGTCGCAACTCCACGGTGGTCTCGAGGCTCAGGTGTAAGGTAACAATAAGGTCGGTGATGCCTTGTATTTAGCCTATCATCCATTGGTTTGCCTATCACACCAAAGTCTCATTTGAGAGACATTCTTGCTGCCTCCTTCTCTCTCTCTCTTTAATACATTTATATACATTCTCTAGTCATTCTCTTACATTCAGTTAAACTGTCAAAATGCCTGCGGCCCAGGCAGGCCCTCTTCACTGCACAACTGTAGGGGGCATCATTCCATTCACACAGGTTTATGTCCCAGACTGTGGGTGGCACATTGACTGGAAATGGTCCAGAAACTGTTGTCACCCCATGCTCAAAGAAATATCTATGACATTGAGATTAAGCATTGAAAACCTTTATGGCAAACCAACATGGGTAGTTTTGTCTGTTCAACCAAATAACTTTAAAAATGGGGACTTATATTTTTCTCTTTTAATTTTCTAACTTTTTTTTTTTTTTACAAAAGTGATCTTGATGGATTTGAAATTTTTTTTAAGAAAATTGCTTTTTAGCCAGAGATTGTTTGAAAAGTCTTGTCTTGGACTATCCATCACGTGAACAGTGCCTGGAACTGCCTTCAATGCTCGGAGGACTGGAAGAAGAATTTTAATTTACCCACAAATATTTTAATCACTCAGAAGGAAGTGATCTATGGTGAAATGAAGTCCTTACCTAGGATGCTTCATGGATTGGTGTGTTCAGGAAGAAATTGGCCTCTCTCTGGGCTGCTCTTGCCAAACATGGACTTAATTTTAAAGCAGTCCTACCCCAGCCATTATTCAGGCTAGTTTGCATTTGGAATTGTGCCCTAAAATAGCTGTATTTCTAAAACTCTGAGGTATAAAGATGTGCACACTCGAAGCCAGATATCTACTAGGAGGTGCTCGAAAAGTATTTTTTAATGAGTATAGTTTCTATAAATAGTAATAAATTTAAGTGCGGAAAGTGCTTTCACCAGACTGTCATCTTGGTTGCCCTTATGGATGATACATAAACCATTGTGTCTAGCAATAGTCTGAGAGGCAAACCTGCTCATGTGGGTAAATGAAAAACTTGTAATTTCAGAAAAATAAAGGGGTAAGAATTCAAGCTGAAAAGTGGCTGTGGTCTGACAACTGTTCTGCTTTAGATCTTAGAGTAGCTATGAAATATCCCAAAAGGAGATTCCAGGGAAGCAGTGATCAGAAGCACAGGCTGCAGGTAGTTTGCTTCTGGGATATCTGCTGGGGCTGGGCCAGCTGAGCCAGTTCTGAATAAGTTGGAGGTGGGGGGGAGGAGGAGGAGCAGCCAGACCTCAGACCTGTGACCCTGCTTGGGAGAACATGTGGTGGGGGCTGGGTGCTGAGTGACAGGCAAAGACATAGTAGATCTCCTGAAACCCCACTCACCATGAAGCTTTTTGTCTGTGGGAACTGAGGCTCTTGAAATAAAACAAAGTAGGAAAACTACTTATTACCTAATATGCTTCCTCCCCACCACCACCACCCAAAAAAAACTCCACATATTTGGTCAAATAAAGCCATTTATGACTTCACTCCGTAAAGCATAAGTGATTATGAAAGTGAATGGAGATCTTTTTTTCTAGACACACAACCTAATAACTCACCCCACAAGTCATCTAGAGGCAAAAACTTTCCTTTTAACTACCCTAAGGAAAACATAATAATTTCTTTTGTTCCTGCATAAACTCTACATTGTTCATTGCTCCTATATCCCAATTCCCAGATGTGGCACATCAATCCAAAACTACAAGAATACCAACTGAACAAATTCTTCTGTTAATATTTCACAAAGAAATCTATGCACTTTGTAGTAATTGAGAATGAGAAAGTGTTACTGTAACACTTGTCTCTGAATCAAGCAGTCCAGGGCTTTACATGATTTTGGTCCAAGGGAAGATTAATGTTCAGGAGGACAATTGCTTCTGCAAGTTGATTGTACCAAGTCTTTGTAAGCTTAAAAGATGTGGGAGCAATTTTATTTTAAAAGCATCCTAAGTGCCTGGAAAAAGCAGTGGCTTTAATAAGAATAGACTTAATAATGATGAATATAATAGTGATATTTTATACTCATCGGGTCCCTTTTCTGTTTTGGATTCAAAAATGCACAAGTTCCAGATTTCTATTGGCTTTTATACCAAAAATCTCTCTGTTTTTATTATAAGATCCAAAATAAAATACTGGCTATAAATCATAAATAGACCGGTGGCATTTACAGTTAATGGTTCTGGTGAGGTAAATTATCTTATTAGGTTGTTATCAACATTTTTAATGGTTATCTTTGATTATTTAGCATATTAATATTTTAATATATTTAAAAATTGATTAATATTTTCTTAAACTATTTGACAATATAACTTCTTTGTTAATCTTTCTTTAAAGTTTCAGAGCTTTTGAAGTAGTTATCCTCTCCTCTCAATTAGATTGCTGTCACCACTATTCATGACTTCCCTCTTTACAAGTGCTTTCAGAATATAATTCCTATTTTCAGAAATCTCAAAGCTGACTCTATAAAAAAAGTCTCTGGATGGTTCTTCAAACCTACAGGTCAAGTATGTGAGAGCGCTCTTTTTTTAGTGCAGAAAGCCCTTAAAAGTGGAGAGCATTTTAAGAAAAGTGAAAGAACAAATGGTCCAGGGAACAAAGTGAGAAAACATACATGTTTTTCTAATCTTCCTAAAAGGTAGAATGACGTGATAGAAGAAAAAAAAAAATACAAGCTTAGAACTGGAAAGTCTTAAAAGATGATACCTGTACACCCAGAAATGGTGTGTGAGCAGGAGAGAAAGAAGTCCATCTGCTTCACCTCTTCAATTGTCCAGATAGTGGTTAGGTTATTTAAGATCCACAGATATAGTGACAGTTGTGTTGTCCAGAGTATCTCCCACAACCCTGTTTCATGAGATAGTTTTTTTTTCTTATTATTATTATTTTTGGATTATTTCTTCAGGCCTGGGTAAGTTTTATGGGTTTGGTTTGATTTTTGCACTTTATAACAAACTCTTTTCCTTCAGTGTTAATTATTTGGTTTTCCTGATGGCTCGAGAAATACTCATGCTTGTGGTATAAACTCACACTTAATCTAAGGAAATTCTTTTTTTCTTTGTTTGCATTTGTTATGTGTTAAGAAGCATCAAATGGCAAGGCTTGGAATCCACATCACAATGTGTTAAGAAGCATCAAATGGCAAGGCTTGGAATCCACATCACACTACTGTTAATTTTCTGTTAGCAAGCAGAGATGGGGCATTCACAGTGTCACACTGGCTATTCTCAAATTATACTATGGCATTGTGTCTCAGGGCAGTAAAATAAACAGTAGTGAAGAGTATTAGGTTCAAAATTAGGTTTAAAACCCTCTACTCCGTAACTATGTGACTGGGGGCAAGTTACTTTTCATCTCTAAATCTTCAGTTACTTCATTTGTAAAATGTAAGAGAACCTGCTTCACAGGGTTGTTGTGAAGATTAAATGGCATAAAGTGAAGTGCTCGGCAGAGTAAGAACCCAGGAGATGTGACTTATTGTTTGTATAATAGTTTTCTGTTTTTCCTCGTTTCGTGTTATTTCTCTCCATAAAACTAGTGAAGCTGGCGCGCTGGGAAACTTACTGATAAGAGTGTGTGCATGAGTTGAAACAGCTACTGAAGAGAAGAAATCAACACCTTTTTTTTTTTTTTGCCATTCCATAAAACACATGGGTGTATTTGACTGAAATCATCCGGGATTTGGGCATATTTCAGGCAAACACACTGTGGAGGAAGACACAGAATGTGTATACCTAACATATGAAACCTAGCACGAGCCTCTCACCTCGGCTGGGTGTCTGTGGCTTTTGAAAGAACTGTGTTTTGCAAATTTGATACTTTAAAGTTATATCCAATTGTCATTTATAATATTCTGTTGTCCACATCTTTTGGAAGATAAAATGTGAATAATACGAACAACATGAATTTCCCCAGATCTTTCTGATTATCAGGTTGGCCATTGCTTTAATGTCCTCTTTTATGCTGCCTACACAGTGCTCTTACTTTACCATTATGTCATGATTTTGGCCACTCTCAGCTTTCCACAGCTTCCTGCTTAAATATCTTTTTTTAAAAAAAACTATCTTCTCATTCTAAACAATGAATTTTCTCTAGTTCTCTAACTAAATAGTTCTGAGATCTTACAACCTAAGTTAATTTGAGACAATAAACCCTTTGAAGGGTTTTAGTGAGAGAGCAGGAGGTGTCTGGTTCACAGTGGTGCTTTGGGAGTCAGTGGTGAACAGGAGAAACCGCAGGGTAGGGCTAAGGTGGCCATGTGGGGAGCAGCTGTCCTGATGAGAAAGCCACAGGGCAGGCCAGAATAAACTAGCAAAGGAGAAGTAAAGGGACAACTGAACCTGTCTGGGAGTTTAAATCAGATGGGGCCACTGATGGGAAAGTGGAGACTGTCGGGGAGAGTTAATGCAGCCAAGGTCAAGGACAGAGGCAGGCTCAGGAGGCAACTCATGAGATGCTAAAGATCGGAGATGCAACCTGGCAACACATGCAGCGATCCAAGGAAGAAACGTGTGCTCAGCACAGGGATGCTGAGGTGGCCCTAGAGGGGTGGGAGGGGCAGGCACGAGATGCAGGTTATAAACCCTGCAGCTGCAGGGATCATGGCGTAACCTTATCTGCTGAGATCATGGCGCAAAATGTCTCTAAATGACCAGAGCAGGGCCTGCCACAGTCAAAGCCTGATAAAGGTTGCTTTCCTAACATAGCAGGGCAATAAGGGCACTGAAAG